GCTTCTCCCGGGCGCGCAGCGGGTCGGCGGGTGTGGGCTACCGCCTGCAGCCATGACCCTCGCAGTCTGTCCCCCGGCCGCGGCCCGGGGCGTCTAATTTCCCACACAATCGCTCGCAGCTGTGGGAGAGGCGGCCCCTGCTCCCTGTCGCCCTCGGCGCCTTCTCGCACTCCCTTGCGCCGAGCCGGGAGCAGCGCGGGCAGCCGGCGCTCCCGGGCAAGCTGGGGGTGTCTGCTGGAGGAGCCCCCCGCGCCGCCGCCCCGCTGCCCGGGACTCTGGCCATGGCCTGGCGGGGCGCAGGGCCGAGCGTCCCCCGGGCGCCCGGAGGAGGCGTCGGGCTCAGCCTGGGGCTGCTGCTGCCGTTCCTGCTGCTTCTGGGGCCAGCGCGGGGCTTCGGGGACGAAGAGGAGCGGCGCTGCGACCCCATCCGCATCTCCATGTGCCAGAACCTCGGCTACAACGTGACCAAGATGCCCAACCTGGTGGGGCACGAGCTGCAGACAGACGCCGAGCTGCAGCTGACAACTTTCACGCCCCTCATCCAGTACGGCTGCTCCAGCCAGCTGCAGGTGGGCGACCCCGACCCCTGGCGGAACCCCTGGGCGGGGAGCCCGACTCCCTCCGTGGCGCCCGTGCCAAGCCCAGCGCCCGGTCTCCTCCCTAGCCTTCAGGGTACAACTCCCTGCAAAAGAGGTTTCCATCCCCAACACCACTTTGCAGTCCCTTCTCAGAGACTGGAAGCCAAAACGTTGTGTAAGTCATCTGGCTTGCGAAAGAACCCGCTCCTACACCCCGCCCTTCCGTTTCTTTCCCCTGCCCACCCGTGTCTGGCCAAGCCCCTAACCCCAGCGGAGTTGAAGGTTATCTTTGCCAAGGTTTCTGGCCACCGCTGCTAGGTGGGTGAGTCCCCAGCGGGGCAACCAGCTGCAGCTCAGGCTTGGAAGGAGAGATAAGGAGACAGACTTCTCCTCCCTTCCCCGACCCTTACCGACCTCGTTTCTCCCCGTATTGGCGGGGAGGGGGAGGGTTATTAAATAAAATACCACCGCTCCATTTCTGCGGAACGGCCCCTTCTCGCAAATTCCCACACGGTTTTAGAGGTCATTTCGAGCAGGAGTTACTGGGTTGGCTTGAGTTCTTGTCTTCAGGGTTGAAGGCAGGTTCAGTGCTTGGAGGGAGAGAAAAGACTCCAGGAAGGTAGTTTGTATATCAGAAGGGTTTCCCCCCTTTTAAAAGTCATTACATTTTTTAAAGCTTTGCAATGTGTAGTGATACAGAGATTGTTCTTTAATAATAATTGAAGAGAGAGATTTACATATACAAGGTTGGTATAATCTTGCAAAAACATCCCGGGGGTGTGGGGAGCTGAAAGGAAAATTAAAAAATTTAAGGTCGTGTTTTGATTGGTGAGACTGAGAGTTTTAGAAATTTAGAAAAGAGAGTAGTTGGGAAAAAAATAGAGGTCACTGTCCAGGCTAAATGCTTCAGAAATCTATGGGTCTGGCTCTGAGTTCTGGGAGATAAGAAACAGACGTACTGTTTACTTACTAGCTGCGTGTTTTTACATAGGTCATTTTAAAAGCTGGATTGTGGTTTTGGAAAGATGATTGGGATTAGACCTGTTGCTGGTGAAATATCCCTGTGGAAGTTTCAGAACTTTCAGAAATAGGTTATAAAAGCTTAAGAAATGATCTTGTAGCTCTCAGTTTGGAAACAGCACATATCCTGACATCAGTGGCAATTTTGTTGGAGAAACAGCTTTTGCAGGGATATATATTTTTAATTACATGTATCCTGGGGAAGCAGCCAAGCTGTTCTGAAGGACAGGACTGGATCCCTTTACATGCTGGAAAATAGTTACTTGTAACTCTAGACTTCATAGACAACATCTGTAAGGAGCCAAGGAGACTGTTTATCAATGCTGGAGGAATTGAGGGCAGCAACTGGACTCTCCCTTGCCGGTACTGCAGTTTCAGGGACTTAACATTTACGTTTTCCTATTGTGTTTCATTATTATTCATTGAAGAAATCCTCGCCAAACAAACCCCTGGTGACCAGAGACCTCTATTTGCAGCTCATGCTTGGGTCTGTGTCTCAGGACATTTTTTATCCTAATATGGGACTAATTTAAATTTTGGTAAAAAAAGAACATTAACACAATCTATATGTTTTACATTTTTAAGATAATAAAGAAATGGGGGTATAAAAGCACCCCTTAGTTAAATGAGTCATTTTACTAGACTCTTCAGCTCTTCCAAATAGTAGCTAAGACTGGGGTGGTCACAAGTACCATAATCCCACAACTCTGGGAGAACATAACAAAAGGATCACAATTTTGAACCTACTCTGGGCAATTTAGTGACTTGACAAGACCCTGTCCCAAAACTTTTTTTAAAAAAAATTTTATTTGTACATGTTTGCGGTACCTGATTGCATTCATTGTAGGAAATTGGTACATGTACATCAGAATTCTTTTTTTTTTTCCTCTTCTGCTCGCCTTTTATTTTGCCAGTGTCAGATTCACTTATTTTAGCTTTAAAAAGGGCTAGAGATGTAGCTCAGTGCAAAGACCCAGGGTTCAATCTTTAGTACCACAAATAGTAGCTAGACAGGGAAGGAGTTTAAAAGTTAGTTTTTAAAGGTTTTTTTTTAATGGTTGTATGAAGACAGATTATGTAATTCTTCAGCCAGATATATATATATATATATATATATATATATATATATATATATTTCTCCGGGGAGGATTACTAAAGCCACACTAAGGAAAGCGTGTAAACGTGATAGGTTATTAGGAACCCTTGTTGGAGTCAGAGTAAACAGACAGACACCCAGTAGGCTGATTTAAGAGTAGATATGTACATTGCCGGGAAGCGTTCAGTCAGCTTTGTGCAAGCATTTGGTTACCCTTCCAAGTCATTGTTTTCTTTGTTTATTTCATTACTTTTCCAGTTCTTCCTCTGTTCTGTTTATGTGCCAATGTGCACAGAGAAGATCAACATCCCCATCGGCCCATGTGGTGGCATGTGTCTCTCAGTTAAGAGACGTTGTGAGCCTGTCCTGAAGGAATTTGGGTTTGCCTGGCCTGATAGCCTGAACTGCAGCAAATTTCCACCCCAGAATGATCATAACCACATGTGCATGGAAGGGCCAGGTGATGAAGAGGTGCCATTACCTCACAAAACGCCCAGCCAGCCTGGGGAAGAATGCCACTCTGTAGGAACCAATTCTGATCAGTACATCTGGGTAAAAAGGAGCCTGAACTGTGTTCTCAAGTGTGGTTACGATGCTGGCTTGTACAGCCGCTCGGCCAAGGAGTTCACTGACGTGTGGATGGCAGTGTGGGCCAGCCTGTGCTTCATCTCCACCACCTTCACTGTGCTGACCTTCCTGATTGATTCTTCCAGGTTTTCTTACCCGGAGCGCCCCATCATATTTCTCAGTATGTGCTATAATATTTATAGCATTGCTTATATTGTCAGGCTGACTGTAGGCCGGGAAAGGATATCCTGCGATTTTGAAGAGGCTGCAGAACCCGTTCTCATCCAAGAAGGACTTAAGAACACAGGATGTGCAATAATTTTCTTGCTGATGTACTTTTTTGGAATGGCCAGCTCCATTTGGTGGGTTATTTTGACACTTACTTGGTTTTTGGCAGCTGGACTCAAATGGGGTCATGAAGCCATTGAAATGCACAGCTCTTATTTCCACATTGCAGCCTGGGCCATCCCTGCAGTGAAAACCATTGTCATCTTGATTATGAGACTGGTGGACGCAGATGAACTGACTGGCCTGTGCTACGTTGGTAACCAGAACCTCGATGCCCTCACTGGCTTTGTGGTGGCTCCCCTCTTCACTTACTTGGTGATTGGAACTTTATTCATTGCTGCAGGTTTGGTGGCCTTATTCAAAATTCGGTCAAATCTTCAAAAGGATGGGACAAAAACAGACAAGTTGGAAAGGCTGATGGTCAAGATTGGTGTCTTCTCAGTACTGTACACAGTACCCGCAACCTGTGTGATTGCCTGTTATTTCTATGAAATCTCCAACTGGGCACTCTTTCGGTATTCTGCAGATGACTCAAACATGGCAGTTGAAATGTTGAAAATTTTTATGTCTTTGCTGGTGGGTATCACCTCAGGAATGTGGATTTGGTCTGCCAAAACTCTTCACACGTGGCAGAAGTGTTCCAACAGACTGGTGAATTCTGGGAAGGTAAAGAGAGAAAAGAGAGGGAATGGTTGGGTGAAGCCTGGGACAGGCAATGAGACTGTGGTGTAAGTCTAGCTATGCGCCGTGCTTTCCTCGTCTGGAAGTGGGGAATGCCAGCATTTCTGTGGAAATGCTCCTAGAAGTCTGAAGCAGTGAACCTCAGTTTGAACAAACTAGCAACACTCAAGCAACCCCCATCAGTCCACTACCCATCACTCCCACCCCAGCATCATAAAAACCAATGATTTTGCTGCAGACTTTGGAATGATCCAAAAATGGAAAAGCCAGTTAGAGGCTTTAAAGCTGTGAGAAATCAAAATGTTGATCACTTTAGCAGGTTGCAGCTTAGAGCGTGGAGATCCTACACAGATTCCAGCAAGTCCAGGGTGATGCTGTTTTTCCCTCCAGGGTGGGATTTGAGATGTGAGTTGATAACTTGCAGAAAGAAAGATAAATTTTTTTAACCCTTTAAAATTTTAAATACTAACTAGGTCTTTCAGATAGCAAAGTGATCTGTAAACACTGGAAACGTTGAGTTCAGAGGAGTGTTACAAGAGTTTTATAGTTTGGCTGATTTAACATAAACATCTTTGTGGTGCACTGTCTTCTGTTTAGAACTTCGTGGATTGCACTCCCAAGAGGTGGTGTCAAAATATTTCAGTGCCTTTGTCATAAAACAGAATTGTTTGAACAAACAGAGTGCTGTTCTGACAAATATAAGGTGTCCAGTGGATTTTTCTTCTCTCTCCTCCTCTCTTTAATTTTAACATCTCCGTTCTAGGCTGCTGCTGTTTTCATTTTACACTAATGACTCAAAAAAAGGTATTTTTATAGGAATTTTTGCAATGCAGCATGCCTAATGAGGGGGAAAGGAAGGGTGATTCGCTTTCTGACAATCACTTAATTCAGAGGAAAATGAGATTTACAAAGTTGACTTACCTTACCAACCCCAGAGACCTATTGCATTGAGCAATGGGGACTTAATATATTTTACTTTGTGTGATTGCATCTATGCAGACGCCAGTCTGGAAGGGTTGAAATGTTAAATTTCTTGGCAACTTTGCATTCACACAGATTAGCTGTGTAATTTATGTGTGTCAATTACAATTAAAAGCACATTCTTGGACCATGACATAATATACTCAACTGACTTTAAAACTATGGTCATCTTGCATTCTTAGACTGATAGTGCCTTTCTCCGCCTTAGCTAAAGAATGTTATCAGAGTCCAGTCTACTTACCACACTGGAGACTTATTCATTTTTGTAAAGGGAACTAAGGACAGCTAATCCAACTACTTGGCACATAATTGTTCCCTAGTAATTAACAAAGGCTCCTTATAAGATTTCATTGGAGGCAGTGTGGCCTGGAGTATTTATATGGTGCTTAATGAATCTCCAGAATGCCAGCCAGGAGCTGGATTGGTTAGCAGGGAATAAAGTGTAGACCATATGAAATGAACTGCAAAATCTAACAGCACAGGTCTTAATTGCCTTATGTGGAAGTATCCAAAGCCTTTAAAATTTATGCTTTATGCTCCTCACGAGGGGGTACCCCCTAGCAGCCTATCAAAAGTTGCAATTCTTTTAAAATTGTAGCTGGCCTTTTTCTTAATCTGCCTTAGGCATTCTAATCACCAGATCTCTGGGACAATTTGTTGTCAGTGTCACAGGTTGCTCTCCTTGTAACTCGCCTCTGTCTTTGCTTTAGCAGCTGCTTCGCAGTAGCTTATTATTTATTAATTCATGACATCTTAAAAATAGATAGAAAACCTTTTTTCTTTTGTGGAGAAATTTTTCCAGGGACTCAGAATTCCAAATAGGTGATCAAATTCTGGAAATAAGCATGTCTTCTTATTTTGACTTGAGCTTTATGTCTGTGCTTTGACATTTTCTGTCCTTTTTCCCTCTTGTTTTTACATGTTACTGAGCTGCCTGCGATCAAGATACATGTAAGGTCCTTCGCATGTTTGCAAGGGAGAGTACTGGGGCTTTTGAAATAGAAGCTGTCTGAGCCTGGGTGGCCCCTGCTGCTTTGTGCAGTTGGACTCTGGGTTAGGGCTCCAAGGAACGTGAGAATTGATGGCTGGAAGGACCAGTTTAACTCTATTTGAGGCCGCATTGCCCACAAAGTGGAGAATGTGAACTCCCCTTGCTGCTCACAGAGGGTTCCCATAGCTGTGCAGGGCCCTGGAGCGTGCACCCAGGGGCAGGGCCTGCCCTTACTCACGCTCCACCCCGGTGTCTTGGGAGTTGTGTGGAGTTTGGCCCAGGGAAGGGAAGGCGGCTGGTCAGGGAGAGAGTGTCCTTGCTTCTGGAGTAGAGGGCATTGTCATGCAGTTTTCTTTCTCATGCTTCATGACTATATGACCAAGGCAGCACCTACCAGGTCTGGGCATGGAGTAGGCATTCAGTATTTGTCAACGATTCAACAATAATCATAACAATCAAAGCGCACTTGGTTGAACTCGGGATGCTTTGATTGTGAATTCTGGAGAGAGTGCCCTGACAATTTTGAGGGTGTGACTGCCTCATCCACAGATTTGCTGCCTTTTCAGGGAAAGGTACATTTGATCAGAAGTGGATGTTGGTACAGACTGGATCAGTAGCCTTAGCAATGCCGCAGTGTTATAGGCCTTTCTTCTCACATTCCAGACAATGGGGAGTGTTTACAGTTTCAAGAAAGGAACTTTGTGGCTGAGGAGTCAGTTTCCAGTGCCCTTCAAGCGACTCTATGTTTTCTTAAATTGATATTTACTTTAAAAAAGCAAAGTCTATTATGTTCATTTATTGAATTACCACTGTGTGTAAAGCCCTAGTTTGGGCATTAGGGATGCCATGGGAGGTAAACTCTGTTCTAATGGATGTAGGATAGAGATGCCCCTGGATGTGCTTAGCTGCTGGTTTTGTGAAGGAATAGGGGCCTGTAGAATTCAAATTAGTGTCACTGTCTCTTTTCCACAGACCTCTTTCAGGGTCTCTGTACCTTAATCTTTTGTCCTTTCCCAGGATTCCTTCTAAATCAGTTACAGGGATTGTGACAAAGCATCACTTCTGCTTCATGACAATCTACCTACAAGTCCCCAGGAAAACTGAGAACAAGTTACATGGAAATAAGTTCCCACACCTACTATGGCTTTGGGGGCAGGCAGATTGTGTTTCAGTTGTGCCTTGTGACTTGTATAGGCATATTTGAAGACAGTATCTAACTGGGAAAAAGTTAGGTTTTTTCCCCCTCTGAAGTCCAGAATAAATAGGTCTGTTTGTAGCTTTTACAAAAGTCTCTTGGCCTCCAGAGATTTTATTAAATCGGACCAAGGGTACCTCAGTCTAACCTCCTCTTTGGCAGACTTTTCTCCTGCTGCATAGAGGTCAAACCTTAACATAGAGTAATATGGGGTAGAATTGGCCAGAGCCATCTGGTTAAGCTATTTGATTGATTCATATTCTTCCTTTATGGAGCCTCGTTTCCTGAGACGACTTCTGAGCTGGCAGCTTGCTCAAGACCCTGAAACTGGAGAAGGGGTGATACCTTTCATTTCTCTGTGATGCTCGTTGATTTTTTTCTTTCCTGGGTCACTCCCTTACCTGTATTCCCCAGAAACAGGATCTGAAAAACTTCTGTATTAGATTCTGCATCGTGATTCTATCGAGCACCCCTAGCTTTGAACTCCCTGGCCCCCTGGCTTCCTGGTCCTGGAATTGAGTGGTTTCCTTTTGTGTTGAGAACCAAGCTGGTACTGGATGACACGAAGATGAACTCAGCATCTTCAGCCCGGGCAGGCTCATGTAAAGGGCTCTCCCAGGATGTTGTGATCTTGGTTTCTGATCAGGTAGCTACAGCAGCAGTTACAAAAGGGAACCGCAGAGCACAGACTTTGGAAGGAACCTCTTAAAATCAGTCTACATCTTGAATTTCATTCTATGATAGAGGGAATTGGAGAGAGTTGCGCTTCTAGCCAGTCAAGTCAAGTCCCTGGACTCTGACAATTTCCTTTGTTCCTTTATTGTGTTTGAGTTCAGAGTCCATGTCTGGGTTTGCATTATGTCTGGCAAAGGACCTGGGTTATCATTTTTCTTCTGTGGCTAGGTCACAGATCTCGGAAACACCTAAGAAAGTATTGTGCTCCTACCAAGGATCAGATGCTGGAACCTTAAATAATGGATTTTGTTTCACTGTAGCCTGGATAGAGCCCTCTGTTGCTGCCGATTGCCATGCAAATGTGCAATAATGGCGTGCTTGACAGTACCAGAGGGGAAGTGAACCATGGATCCCCCCCAACATACCTGTTCCCCTGGTAAGTCCAGCTGCCCCTATAGTGGCTTGTTTGTTTCTTATTTACCCTCTTCCACCTGTGTGCATCAGCAAGTTCCTGGCATTCAGCCAGGCAGTCTGTAAAGACCTTTTTGGGATCCCCTATGAGCCATGCCCTCAACACTCTTGCACCTCTGTTGGTTTCCTGCAGTATTCAGTACATGACCTCTGGCTCCCAGAAGGCTTCTGAAGAGAAGGTTGAGAACAGTTCTGCCCCACAAAGTTTGGGTCCATCTTCCCTGTCAGGTTGTTAGAAATTCCCAGTCCCTTATAGGCCCTGACATCATTATGGGTTCTGGGAGAGGCACACTGCTTTCTCTGTCTCTCCCATTGAGGCAGATACATGGTTCTGAGTTTCTCCTACCTCACAGGGATGTTGTGAGGCTTTAGAAGGCGAAAGACGAAGAAGGCCTCTTGAGCTCTTTTAAGAAAGATGGACCAGGTAGTGGGTGCAATCTGCAGAAAGATGAAAGAAGACTCAGCCTGCTTTGTATGGCAGTCAGGCTAGTTGCTCTCTGGCCCTTTCTCAGATCCTCAGGCCACTCCACAGCTCCAGGGACCTGGAGGCCAAGCTGGGGGACTTTCAGATATTCAACATAGAGGTACCAGGCAAATTGCTGTACACACACCCTGAATGAATTTGCTGAATTTGAAAGGAAGAAGGCCCTGTCTTTAAGGATGTACAAAAGTATGTCTGCATTGATGTCTGTACTGTAAATTTCTAATTTATCACTGTACCAAAAAATCCCTTGCTATTTAATTTTTGTATTAAAGGAAAATAAAGTTTTGTTTATTAAGTCATGTGTGATTTGGCATACTTCTGAAAGTATAGTGTGGCCCCTAGGAAGCACACATGCCCAGCAGTAAGAGGGGATTCAGTTTCCATGGCAGGTTGAGAAATACTCTCTTGGAGCGTCTTTGTTTATTTTTACTAGTGCTATTTTCCCCCTCTGGGACTTCTGGGTCAGCAAACCCCCACAGTCCAAGGTCACCAGAATCTATCACTGCTGTGGTCATCAGTAGCACTCAAGTAGATCACAGGATGCTTTGGACGTAACTGCAGTTCTCCACTGTTGTCGCCATGACTCCTCATTGTGCCATTTCTCAGGGTGACCATCTTTACTGTGAAGTCCTTTTAACTTAATCTGGTGGCATGAAAACATTTTCTCATTACAACTAGAGCCTCAGGCCTTTTGAGAAGGGAAAGGGAGCTTTTAGAAAACCTTAAGTTTTTATCTTATGTTTTTCTGGCTACACAATAGTTCTATTTTGTGAAATAGATATGGGAATGTGTTGCATCAGTCAGTCAGGAGAACGTCTTCGCTAGCTAATTTTATACATTGGGTGGTCTGTGTCCCCAAATCCAGAAAAGTTGCTGGACAAAGCAAATTCAAAGCGATTATCAGGACATTGTCATGGTGTCCATTAATATTACAGACCACACAGAGAGGAGAGGTACTGCCATCGGAGATATTTGCTGATGTCGCTGATGGGATCAGCCCTCTTGGTTTGTTTTTAAATTTCTTTCCACCCTTAACTTCACTTGAATACCACCCTGTCTTGGGGTGAGTAACAAGTCCAGTGTACAAGGATTTGCAGTACTCCTTATCTGCAGATTGCTATTGTACTTTTATCTCAAACCTTAAATGAAAGGAAGCATGTAATTTAAATTCTCTTCCCTGTAAGACAGGCTATATTTCTCGTTCCATTACATACTCATTAAGTAGTTATGAAGTTAAGGAAAAGTCAACACAATCTGGAGTGAATTCATAATAATCCCTTGCACTTGTAGAAGCACTTTCGCAATAGAAAATACTTGTGTGATTTTGCTTTCTTCTCATGGCATTTCTGAAGTAAGCAGGGCAAGCATTGCCTTTCTCCAGACTTACAGAGGGCAAGGGGAGCACAAGGAGATAGGAATCTGGATGGCCAGATCTCATGCCTGGCTCAGGGTTTGTGTGTGTTTTCATTTTATACAGGTTTTCTTTTTTGCTTGCATTTCACATTCCTATGGGTTGCATTGTTAGGTTGAAGTCCTAACCCCCAATACCTGTGAATATACAGGAAATAGGGTCCTTTCAGATGTAATTCAGTTAAAATGAGCTCATACTAGATTAGAGGGGCGTCTCACCCAACAGGGTATCCATCTACAAAGAAGGAAATGTGGCCCCAGAGGAAAAAGCCCTGTGGAGGCAGAATTGACGCTGTACAGTGGCAGGCCATGCAAGAAACACCAAGGATTGCTGGGAATCTCTCAGGGCTAGGAGAGAACCAGGGAGGATTTTTCCTCGGAGCCTCCAGAAGGAACCAACCTTGAGTCCCGACCTCTAGCCTTCAGAACATGGTGAGAATAAGTTTCTGTTGTCTTAAGCCACCCAGTTTGTGATAATTTGTCATGGATCCCGTAGGGAATAAGCGCATACTGGAGTTCTTGATTTCTTTACTACAAAGTACTTCACTGGATGTGGACAACCCTTTGCCAGGCATTATCTCTCCATAATGAGATCTGGCCATGAGCTTCCGTTTTTGAAGATTATGTAGTGTAATCACTATAGTGAAAATCTGTATCTGTAAACTGGCCACCTATAGTGTAAACCTCATGATCCCTTAACCTTCAACTGGCCGACACTGGTCTTGGCTGATCTACCACCCATCCACCCCCAAAGGGAGCTCACTGTGCAGAGGCGGGACCCTAACTGGAATGTAGCTCAAGGGTTTTTAGCATTTCTGTCCTGAGAACTGATTTTTTTCTCTTTCCCATTTTAGCTTTCACATGCAATCATAATTTTAAAGTTGAGCTGGCTCTTGACTAAAGAGGTCAACCTTGGCCTCCTGCTTTTAGAGGTTGTGTGAACAGAAATAAACCACACTAGGACAAGGGCTTGATCCTCGACTCAGCTTTCTTTGCAGTGCAGCCGAGTTGGTAGGACATCATTAAATGTTCCGGAGACACGTTGGACTTGGGAAGATTTAGTCCAATCAGGTTTTCAAAGCGGGCTGTGGTGTTACCTGGAACGCCTAGTGCCGCCCTGGCCTATTCCTTCAGCCTCCTCACCCAAGGGTACCCCATCAACCCCTCCATCCAGCTTTCATGGCAAAACTTCTCTGTTTTCCACAGGGAGAAAACTGCAAAAATCCTTTCCCATCAATTTGCTGATTTTCATCAACCTCCCTTATTTCTTCCTATTAGTACCTAGGGCATGTTTGAAATTCTTCCTTCTGAAGAATTTTAGTCTATGAAAAGAAACTGTGCTGTATACTAAGCTCATATTCAGTATAGAACCCAAAGCAGGGGTGGGAGCAAAACGGCTGAGTTTCACAGCAAGATAGGGCTCCAGCGTCTGAGGGGAAGGCTGTGGGAGCTTGTGGAGGAGGATGTGCCAGAGAGAAAGGGTTGCCTTCTTAACGTGGGTGTAGTTTCTCCTGTAACAGTCCCCTGTGGCAATTTCTGAGCAGGCCTGGAAGGTCAGACCCCAAGGTCTTCTTCCTGAGGGATCTTGGCCAGGGGCAAAGGAGGGAAGGATATCAGGAAGGAGAGGCTGTGCCTTTCTCTGCTGTTTCCTAATACAGATGTAAATTTCTTTTCCCAAAGGTTAGCCTTTCAGAGCCATTCTTCTGTTGCAAAGGTCTGCAATTTCTCTGAGTGTCCCACTTGAAATATGCCAAAAAATACATTTGGGGTGGTATATTTTGATCTCCCTCATGTCCTATCCTCTTTTCATCTAAGAAGCTAGCCCCAATTGTCAATGCCTTTCCGCTTAGGAGATGAAATGATTGACTATGTAAATTTTCTAAAGTGCCTGAGGAGTGCATTACTTCAGTTAGTAAAAATGGGTAAAGTACAAAGCTCTGAGATGGAACTAATAACTCACAAAACTTGTGCTAGCTTCTCCTAGTTTTAACATTTTTCTCATTTTAATTTTCCTTTCACACTTACCTTGCACTTTGATTTGTTTTGGAGAGAAAGTCACACGATATTGTTCTGGTTGATCTCAAGCCCAACTGATCAAGCAGTTCTCCTGCCTCACCTTCCCCAGTTGCGTGTGTGTGCATGTGTGCATATGTGTGCATGTGTGTGTGTTTTCTTTTGTCTGAAAAGCTCTTTCTATCTTTCTTCAGCTAGGTTTTATCTGTTCCTCCTTCACAGCTGAATTCTATGTCATCTCTCCTGGGAAGACTTCCTGGATCTTCCTGTTTACCACTTCCTGCCACCCTTTCCAGGTTACTACTGCTCACTGTCAGCCTCTGTGCCTCACCTCTGAGAACATTTGTGTCTTTTGTCACAGTGTGTGCATCCCCTTCCCCGCTAGACTGAGCTCCCCGAGCAGGACTCCAGTCACTCAGATTGCCTCTCTGTGTATCCTCAGAGCCTGGCACAGTTCCTGGAACATTCATGGAAGGAAGGAGGGAAGGAAGGAAGGAAGGAAGGAAGGAAGGAAGGAAGGAAGGAAGGGAAGGAAGGAAAGGAAAGGAAGAAGGAAGGAAGGAAGGAAGGAAGAAAAGAGGAATGGAATAAGGAAAGAAAGGCAGTAAGGAAGGAGATGATTACCTTGTCAGATGGGAACTGAGGAACTGAAAGGCTTCTGTGACAAATGTGGCCGGCAGAGGAAGGAAACACAGGTGACGGCAGCCATTACCGCAGCACCACTTTCTAAAAAAATGCTATGGCTCTGGCTCCAGAACACTTTTTAGCTTCAAAGATGGCTTACAGAATGATTGCCTGTTTCTCTGTGTTGCTTGTAATTGCCTCACCCTTTTTTCTTCTCCTCCTCTCCCCAACAAATAAAATGCTGAGAGTCTCCTACACGTACAGCACTGGAGTTGGAGACAGGAGAGGGGAGTGATTTAAAACAAAACAAAATAAACAAAATTGAGCCGAGCACAGTGGTCCACACCCACAGTCCCAGCACTTCAGGAGGCTGAGGCACAAGGATCTCAAATTTGAGCCCAGCCTGGGCAACTTAAAAACTTAGCAAGACCCTGTTTCAAAATAAAAAAATTTTTAAAAATGCCTGGAGATATAACTCAGCACATAGGCCCTCGGTTCAGTCTCCAGGACCACAAAACAAAACAACATGAAAGACAAATTCCAACTTAGAGTCCCCAGATGATGACAAAATAGAGAAAGAATTCTGCTGTTATTAACAAGTTTAAATCTCTAAACCTGAAAAGAACCAATCCTCCGCTGCTTAGTAAATATTTGTTGACTAGTAGCACGCGGGGCCACCATGTGCTAGCCACCGTCCTGGGCAGGCACCGTGGGGAACACTGAGATAAATAGGACGCAGTGTTTATTGCAGAAGTTTATGGCAGGAAGCCATGTGTCTCATTCTAGCCCCTCCCCAAAATCTGTGCTGCTGGACCTATCCACCGGGTGGTGTAATGGCTTCCTAACCTAAGGCCCAAGGTCTTGTTGGTTTAGCTAGGGTCGATTGGCTTCTGAGGGCCCAGTGTAGTGAAACAGTGTCTAAAGTGTTGTCAGCTCACCATTCGACTCCTGAGAGCACAGGCCTGCCTGGGGGAATTTGTGAGGAGAGCAGGGGCAGAAGAGAAAGGGAGAGGGGTGCAGCAGAGAGACGGAGCTCCTTTAAGACAGGATCTGCTCCTCGGCATTCAGTGTGTGAAGTACAAAAGCTGACACTCACTTGCGGTGTGATATTGAGACATTCAGTCATGGGATCTAACCCACTGCCTGCAGCCGAGCAGCTCTTCTAGGCACACGTGTCAGTGGATAGTGTTTACACCGAGGAGGGCATTACATTGAGGCCCACATTACAGCTAGTCTGCCTTGTGTCCTCTAA